GTGTGTCACCTTCCCTTCGCGATTCAGGTAGCCATACCATTCCCCATGGTGAGGGTCGCTAAAGTGGTTCATGGCATAGTCCGTCACTTTCACGAAGGACTCCCAATGTTCTTCCTTCCCCAGAGTTTCATACAACATCGCAAAAGCGATCATGGCCTCATTGTGTGGCCACCAGAGTTTCATGTCCCATTCCAAATACACGGGAGAACGGCCTTCTGCATCAAGAAAATAAAACAAACCACCATGTTCCTTGTCCCAACCCTCCTCAAACGACCAGGTAATCATCTGCTCTGCCACTTGAACTAGATCAGCCCTGCCGTTGCGATTGGCATATTGAAGGACAAACCACCCTGCCTCAATGGCATGTCCGGGGTTCATGTGTCGTCCATCATAGCCAGGGCACAAGGAACCGTCAGCAAGGACAACTTCAAGCACTTGTTTTCGCTCTGTCTTCACGTGCTTCAAAATCTCAGAAATGCACCACTCCTCCTCCATGGTCAAATCAATGTCAGCAGCGGCCGATTCGGTTGAAAGTGCGCCTTTTGTTTGCAACTCGTGCAGCACATTCAAAATGATCATGGGGACATTCATGGGACTTGTGATGGGAGCACCTGCACAAGTTTCCCTTCCAAGCAGAGACGGATCCCGGCTCCAAGTCACAATTCGTTTCAACAGCCAGACGCACTTTTCAATGAGTTTTGTCGATCTGTCTGTTTCACCATCTTTCTTCAGAACAGCACCGACAGAGCCCACCCCAAGACACAAGAAGCAAGCCGAAAAAATTTTGCGTTCGATATGGTACGGTTGCCCATTTTTTGCCAACGAAAAAAATACCTTTCCATCCTCTTCACGAACCCCATGCGCGTACATGAAGTTTGCTGCCACTTCTGCATCTTTCAAAAGTTTGTCTCTGCTCAGTTTGGAGTTGCTCAATGAGAACAGTTCATCAGAGGTATAAGTTTCCGCTATTGTTGCATACATGTAAATTTGGCGCCCATTCAACCACATAAATTTCCGCCTGTCATAGATGTCCCCGTCTTCATCCAAGCAAGCGAAAAAACCACCCAGTTCCAGGTCGACACTGTGTCGATCCCAAAAAGGCAACACCTTCTGAAACAACTCTTCTTCGATGCTTTGTCGGTAGCGCTGCAAAAGGTCTTCAGAAGGCATGCCAGTGAGGAGAACAGGTGTCTAATACATAAATAAACATATTGAGATTTGTTGTAAGAAACACTTGAGAAACCACTGGGGGAATAATTCAAACCTACTAATAAGCAGTGAAAACGTCGAAGTTATAGCAATATGAAACAACTGCCAATTTGATGTGCCTCAGCCCCTTACGATAGTTTTGGAACCTTGCAAAAAACTACATGTCGCACATCACTCTGCAATCCGATGACTCTGCATCTTCGAAGTTCAATCGTTTTTCTCACTGCATGATTGGTTCTTAAGCCAATGATTCAAACAAACTCCAACATGCATGCCTTCTTACCAACTACAACACCTTCCAAAATAATCCACACTCCATGTTTCGCAGATGTGTCAAGGCTGAAACAATTTTTTGTTGGCACTTTTTTAAGGACCTTGCCGCAACTCAATGTTTGCGAACGCTGCCTGGCAGGCCACCGAGGAGATCACAAACATTATATAAGACTAGATGGTGTCCATGTCAAAAGCATTTTGTCTATAATAAAGGTATCCCCACTGTACATTGACCATGGCAATGAAAAGGTTCGAATCTCAATTTTCGCACATATCGTGAATGTTCCCCAAGTTTTGAAAACATTTTGTTTCTTGCATATCCTGCATCCCCAACCTTGAAATTAAACCCTGCGATTTTCAAAAAAACCTCTTGCTGTTGTGATATACATGTAAACATATTCGAACGACAACACAAATGTGTGGGGGTGGTGGGCAGCATTTATACTTCTGTCATGCTACCTTTTGGGTACACATCCACCTCCGCATTTTTTTCTTTGTTGGGTACTATTTACGCACAGTCTATACGCTCATGTTTACCTCTATGTGGTATCTGCGGAATACTACTTTTTGACGTCTTACATAGTGTCTGCATATATTTTTGCACAAGGTTTGGTTATATACCTAGGTCTTCAAAAGATCAAGAAATTTTGGTCGACCCCTAGTGTTCTACTTTTTCTGGACGCTAATTCAAAAAATAGACGTTTTGGTCGATATCTCCAAAAACCGGTCGTGAGTTTTATGCCCTCCACTGCAACGTTGAATTTTTTGTCATTCCCCGACTCCCTGAATTGATTATAGATTTCGTTCATGGAAAAAACCTGGTTTCAAATGGTCTCTCACAAAATAAGTCGTGCATCCCAATCCGCATGGTGATGTGCACACACACACACACACACGCACACGCACACGCACAGTTTGGGGAGTGCCTTGGCCTCTTTGTCTGTGGAGGCCAAAAACTATTTTTTAAATAAACCCAATTTACAGAAACGATTTCCTAAATCAACCCTAAGTTGGGAAACTATTTGAAATTATTTTTTAAATAAACCCAATTTACAGAAACTATTTCTTAAATCAACCCAATTTGCAGAAACTATATCCTAAATAAATCGAAGTTTTGGAAACTTTTGAAAAATATCCAAAAAATACATTAATAAAGAAAAACTACAAAAGTAATTCAATTTATGCCTTCTAGGGATTGGTTTGAAACGGTTTGAAACGGTTTCGGACTATTTGCTAATTAGCCATTCTCAGAAACTTTTTGAAACTATTTGACACTATTTGCAGTTTTTGTCAAGGTGAATTGGTAAATAGTAGGAAGCGGTTTCGGACGGTTTCGGACTATTACCTAGCAAGTAGCGGGAAACGGTTTGAAACGGTTTCTGTGATACCCTTACTCTGCCCTAAATCATCAAACAAGACAATATACCAAGAAAAAAATAAAACCTAAGTTGACAAATATAGACACATATAGACACATTATGACATATTGAAACTCCTTACAGATTGAAAAGTAAGAAAGAAACGGTGACTGATTCTAAGATGAGGAGTCAAAGAACATAGAACGAAACAAAATAAACATAGAACGAAACAGAATGAAGGGTGCCTGCAGCATCTCTTCCTCGGTGAGAACATGGTTCACTTGTCTGGGGCAATCTCTGGATTTTAAGTGATTGACTGCTATCCTTGTCCAATGGTTGGGATTGGTAAAAGCAATCCTGGTTTTGTAAATGGTTCTTGGGTTTGGCGCCCAGATTAAGAAATAGTTTCTAGGATTTAAGAAATATTTAACAAATAGTTTCCAGGATTTAAGAAAGAGTTTCTGGGATCTAAGACAGAGTTTATGGGATTTAAGAAATAGTTTCTGGGATTTAAGAAATAGTTTCCAGGATTTAAGAAATAGTTTCCTTTCATACTTACCTCTTAGGAAGGTTAAGCTGGTAGGCTCCCGACGAAACCGGAACCCCCGGGCTCCCGCGACAGACCTTGACAAATAGAGAAAAGTTCAGGCACACACCAGTCCGGACTTTTGGGGGAAACCCCTGACTTGGGTATCCTCTGAGGTGTCTAAAATGCCATGTGGCAAAGGCCTGCTAACACCATCCCCCAACTCACCCGCAAAGGCTATCAGCCACATGGGTTTTGTTTGGGGAACAATTTTTTTTGATCCCACAACTTGTGGGTATCGCGTGTGGAATTATTCGCGGCGTTGTATGGTGCATTTGGCAAAAACTGCGCTGGGACAGGGTATGTGTTTATGTTCCTGTTTGACACACCCTTTCCTGGATTGAAACAGCATTGCAACTGGTATGGCGCCATAGTACTCCCAATTGGATTCTAGATGGTTTCAAGTTTCAAGCGTCAACAGTTTCAGTGTGGTGAGCCATGGGTGAAGGAGGCTCTAGTACAATAAAACTGGCATGTGCGGTAAAGACATTAGTTTTTCTCACCACAAACTACCATTGGCAAATGCGTGTTCCAAGATTGACCAGGTTTGCCCTGACAACATGGTCAATATCATTTTTTACTTGCAAATATTACCCCTTTGATTCAAGTAATGGTTTCTGGGAAATCAACATGATTTAGCAAATGGTTTCTACCTGTTCTACTTTACTTTTAAAAAAAAAACTACATATCCTATATACTTATTTAGCAGATGGTTTCTAGTATTTAGCAAATGGTTTCCAGTTTTTTGCACATAGTTTCCAAATAGTTTCTAGTATTTAGCAAATGGTTTCCAGTATTTAGCAAATGGTTTCCAGTATTTAGCAAATAGTTTCCAGTATTTAGAAAATAGTTTCTAGTATTTAGCAAATGGTCTCTAGAATTTAGCAAATGGTTTCTACCTGTGCAAGAAATAGTTTCTGGATTTTACAGAAATGGCAAATAAAGAAGCCAACGCACTTCACAACGCACAGTGTTCAAATTTGCAATCATGACCATGTTTTTCCAAAAACATAATGATGCCATGGATCCACAGAGACATACGTGCATGAAACATGAGTGCACAAGGTGAGACATCCAACCTTCCGCTCATAACTTCACAACGAGTTGGTCTGATTTGTTTCAGCATTTTTTTGGGCCGCCTTTAAAACAAAGGCTTCAAGGTCTTGTTTATAAACAGCTATTAGACAAGTTTAACTGCTACCTTATAAATTGACCTTGTTCCTCACACACAAACGGCATAGCACGGATATAAGTAGCCAACACATCGCCAATATACGCGTCGCACACTGCGCATATAAAGGGGAGAACAACATACAACATTTCAAACTTAAAACGGGGTAAACATAACATCTCAAACTTAGAATAATGCAGCACGAAGTGAAAACACGCAAATCGACGAAACGGTTTCCCTCTCTCTTTTTCTCATCTGGCGGACAAGGGCGAAATCCTGTTGGCATATGGTTTTGCATCATCCATCATTCTTGTGGTTCCTCGCCATTTGAGAAAGCATTTGAACACATGATACTTTTGGGACTGCATGTCCACATTTGCATTTGTGCTCACCCCGGTCTGCTTTAGCAAATTGTGGATTTGAGAAGGAGTTTCGTCACAGGACAAACAGGCTCGACGCATTTGAAAGGCTTCAAGAACTCGAGCTCTTTGATCGACCCCCTGCTGGGGTGGTCTGCCACATTTGAGGACGACGGCACACGTGCAACCCACAGCATGAAATTATCTTCCAGCGGGTCTTCAAGGAGTAAAAGCAAATCCCTCCACTCAAGCTGAAGTGATGTGCCCTTGACAAGAACATCAAGAGCTGGCCAATTGTCGACAAAGAGAGAATGGCACATCTCGATGAAACATCAGGCTTCCAATGCAAAAGTGAAACGACGCATGCATACAATTCCACAAGGCCAATCACATGGGTTTTGCCACCTTCCTGCCCGTTCTCCAAGACACGGTCGGGGACCGCAGCGCCAAAAACCTCGCACTGACCGTCAGGTCTCAAGCACACGCCACCAACAGTCGCCCGAGGCACGTCCTCGTCGTACTCCAAACCTCCGTCAGTGAAAGTCAGAACCGGTCGCTGGATGCCATCCGCAACAAAGGTCTTCGGCCGGGATCTCTAGGGACTCCAAAAGCTTTGACTCGGGACTCTTCAAGCGGAACCTTGACGGGACGTATGGCCCAACTCCCGCAGGTTTGCGAGAGCCAAGCGTCCAGCTCTGCCCCAAACATGTGAGTCAGCATATTGTAGTTTCCCCAACACTGATGGCATTGAAGTCGGGATGACAAATTTTGCGTTCAATATCTTGAGCAAGGCATCATTGAACTCTTCTTCTCCTATACCTAGTCCAAAGTCTGAGACTTAAACGCACTGGGTCCCTATTTGCGCGTAACTAAACTACGCACCAACTTGCGCGTAAACAAAACTTACAAACCAAAAACCCCAAACTTAAACATCTCGAAATAAACAACATCACGACACAGCTTCAGCAAAACGAAATGCGGACAACTGCAAAAATCGAAAGCTGACATGTGCATTCCCCAAAGATCTAACGAGATGAGAGTCCGGTCTTCTCTTTCGCCTTTTGCTTTGCAATGGTCTCGGGTTCAAAGTTCGGTTTGACCCAAGGTGAACGTGGGGCCGGAGATCAGTTTTAGTTTAGTCCACTCTGGCAACAACTCAGGTTCACAAAAATGTGTAAGAATTGTTTTCCAGCTGGCATGCCAGCTGGAGTGTTCTCCTTTATGGACTGTTCTCCTTTACCCCCGCCATGGGGAATTTTGGGTGGAACAACGTTTGGGTAGGGACGAAAATCGTCCATGGCAAATTGCAAGGACGAACCCGCCCACCCATACCCTTAAAACAGGATGGCCACACGAACATAGAGTGAGATTTTGCACATGGGTCCACTATAAATTTTGACATCTCAGATTTCACAAGTGAAACATGGGAATTTCCTCTGAAATTCAAAATTGAAGATTCACATTTACACTTGAAAAAGTTTGTGTTTTCCAATAGCTGCGTTCCGCTTTGCCAATTTAAACATGTCAAAAACAGATTGTTTGGTAGGTTGTTTTGGTTTGGATTGCAGTTTTGTTCGCTCTCTTGCAAACATAGAGTGCCCCAACCGAACGTGCTTCGGTTGAGGCACTTTAGCTTAACACAGAACGTAGGCGCAATGTATGGCACGCGTACTAGGGAGAAAGATAGCGCACGGTAGTTGCAGACCGGACTATGTACATAGTCCTGTTTGGACGGTTAGAGAGAAAGTGTTGTTGTCAGCAAGCTGAAACTTGTAAAAATCTTAATGAACCCTCAACTCAGCTCAGCGAGTTCCAAATCCTTTTCGCGCCGTTAACAAACAGGTCACACAAGGCACAAAACCAAGTGTCTTAAATTCTCTTGTTACTCGAGCCACTCTCTGGTTGAGCAACACAAAGTCACACGGACTTCTCAAAACTAAAAGACTGCTGTACCAACTGCGGATTCCAGATCAAAAGTTGTTTCAGACAACATCCTACGCAACAATCAACGATTCCGACCTAGTGTGTAACTGGTTGGTACCATTAAGTGGTTGATTTAACCAATCCAAACACAAACCAGAGGCAAGAAACCAACAAACCAAGGTTTGTGGTTTCTCCCCTCAGACTTACCCCTTTTCACCTGCCGACAGTGGCATCACATCGGGGTGTTTTGTCATCACCGAGGAGAAACCCCAAACGGGATAATAAAGAATCAACCACCCATAGCACCTTAGCTTCACAGGAGATGTTGTGTATACAACATCGACAAAATTGGTTGCACCAAAACTTGCCGTTTCCATATCATCCAATGATGATACTCACAGAAATCTTTACAGCATGATTTGACGAACAACTTCGTGATGTCAAATCATCTTCAAATGGTCCAAAGGTGATTGAAATACTTCTTCAATGTTCCGAACGTTTCCGAAAATGTTCAAATGTTTCCAAAACCGTTCCAAACAAACTGTGACCAAATCGGCTAAATCCCTAAAGCCCGAAAACACTCTCGTCTCATTGAAAACGCAAATTCCAGCAAAGACAGTGGTCAAAACGCAATGTCACCGAAATAGCATCCAATGAAATACCGTCCATTCTAGAACATTCTCAGCTCATCAAAAGTGCATATTCTCAATGAATACCGATGTCAAATGCAGTATCATAGAAGCATCATCCAATGAACTATTGTACCAAATAGAGGTGCACAACGGTCTAATCCCAGCGTACATCGTGAAGAAGCACGACGGTCCAATACCATATATTCACACCCCCTTTCGGCGTGCTGCTTCCAAACCCAAAACGACACATCCCACTCGAAAAGTATTCAGTGTCTAACAGAAAGGAAGTCTCCTGTATCAAAAGCTGTTGGCCGGAGCCACATTGATCCCATTCTCTTCCAGCTGGACCGCAAAAACCCAAAGCGACACCATGTGTCTAACAGAAATTGCAATCGAAGCCAGATACCTTTATTTCAATACATAGACCTTTCCAATAAATCAGGTCCCCTTGGAGACATTCAGAATCGCAAAGCCCATGCATCGATGACCGGAGTCACGTTGAGATCATGGCTTAACCACTCTCTTCAAGCCACTCTCTTCCAAGAACCAGCTGGCTCTCTCTCAGGATCAAACTCCATATAGAGAAGAAACCCAGCCAAGTCCACGGCTTGAGACTTGTGAGTTCCATCATAGGACCCATGATACTTCTTGAAAATGAATCCCAGATACTTGTCCAGCTCAATGTCACCGTCAATAGCCATCCTAAGCAGTTCAGAATAAGTCTTTCCCTTCCACTTCGGCTCACCATTGACTTTCGGAAGCTGGCACACCGTGTGAGACCACTCCTTCAGAGTGCAATTCTTTGGCAATGGAACCTCCTTGCGATCTTCACTTCGGAAGAGCTCACTTGGAGTAGTTGGAGATCCAACTGCTTCAAAGTCCGAATCACTCTCTCCCCTCAAACGCTTGGAAGCATCAGCCATTGCTGATCCACCAGACGCCTTCGGAGCCTGCTGAGCCTTATTCAACAGTGCTTTCAACTGCTTCTCCTCATCTTCTGTCAAACCACTATATCCAGCTGCATTCTTAGACACAGCCATGGCTTCAGCAAGTGAGGAGAGTAAAACGTAAGTCTTACTTCGGCGCTACTTAGAATCCGAAACAACACAAAGCCTAAGCCAAGAATCCAAACAGATCTCCACAGTAGCTACCAGAGCAAAGTCAGTGAAACGCAAGAAAGAACGAGACCTGCCTACCTGGCACCCACACAGACCTTCGAGGCCCGCCCACATACCAGATACACACACCTCAAACTATACATGTTCCAGTCAAAGATCTTAGACCTTTCAAACTGCAACGCATGTCAAGTCCAGTCCGTTTCAGACAAGTTCAAAACAGTTTGCATCAAGTCCAAGACATGTCCCATGCTTCGCATTGAGATCAGTTTCAAAGTTTTAGTGCACGATCGTTTCAGATCAAACTTTATTTCGTCAGCTCAAGTTCGAAAACCAAAATCGAATCAAGAAACCTATCATCCTCAATTCTCAATTCACAACAGCAACAACAAAACTATCCATCATTTCTCAATGCGTCCAAAGCACCGCGAACAATCGAAACAGCTAGATTCTCATTGTAGAAAGCAGTTTCTGCCCAATCCACATTAGTCAAACCAGCATGTTTCTGAGTGCAGTGACACTGTCCAAAGTCCTTGGCCAACCGACCAACCATCAACTTGCTGTTACTGGTGAACTTCAACACCTTTCCAACTGGTTCTCCGTCCTTAGTCATTGAACCTGTTGAGCACAAGTGCACAGCCGCAACATGTTTGTGTTGAGCTTGATTCAGAATCTTCGTGGTCATGGCATGAGTCCAAATCGCATTCCTCCATGGCAACTCGACAGATGAATATTTCCTCAATTTCATGTCTTTGGCAACATGAGGAATAACATCAAACCAAATCACATCCGCTTCAGTGGCCGTGTCGTCACCCCTGAAATTTCTTAATGGAGATCCCGAAGAACATGGTGATGAAACATGGACAAAAACCTTTGAATTTCCCAGATCTCTCAATGCAGCAACCACCTGATCAAAAACAGTTTTCTTTTCCATATTCTCAACAACACCAATGTACAGAAATCCAAACCTTCTAGCTACCTTGGAAATACTGGAGTCCGGTTTGCAACACACCTCAATGAACACAAAACCACTCGAAATGGCCATGATGGCTCCCAGAGGAGCGTCCAAAACCTCGAAACCCATTGCTGCTCTGTGTATCCCAAAGATTGAGCTCCCCAGGCATTTGGTCAAAGCGTCAGCTGGATTATTGGACCCCTTCTCATAGTGGATTTTCAACTTTCCCAGTTCCGCTCTCTCTCGAAGCCATTCAATCCGAATCTCAAGGTGTCGAGATTTTCGTGGTAAATCCAAACCTTTCAACAGTTTGATCGACGACTCAGAGTCAGTTCGCAGAACTCCTGGAATCTCACTGGAATCAATCTCCTTGAAGGA